AGCTAGTGCTAAGAGAGTTGTGTAGGAGGAATTCTGTCGAATAATTTTTCAGGTTCGCTGGGAAAAGCCAGATCAAATTCTGTTAATGTCCAAATAATCCACTTCCGTCAAAACTATGCCGTGCATTACATCCTATCGCGTAAAATTCATTCAGAATTTTGAAAACACCAGTTTAGTTTAGAAGACCCACGCTACAATACGAACCTCCCCACTTCATCACTAGAACAATATTACATGGCATGCTTTCTCGGTGATCTGGAACTATTCCCCACTTCAGAAAGGTGTGCATATCAGTCGGTTAGAATACCGATTTCCACAGATAAGCCATCTCGTTTTCACAAACTGTGTAGTTTGACCGCTTGCCTACTGTGACTACTATTCCTCTACATGATAGGTATCGGTGGATCAAAAACAGGATGAAATCCACTGTATTCTCCGTCAGAATGTACCCAAAAGAAGCAAGTGAAATAGCTAATCTACAGTAGCAACCTTTGCTTCTTCAACAAAAGCAGACATGTGAGAACCCTGGACTTGCTTTGACCGAGCAACTTTTCCCCCCATGGACATTGCCGGATGACTGGACGCAATACTTTTGGTGTTACTTCTCTAGATAAACCCTTCTGATGGGGTCTAAAAAACTAATGTTTTGTAAATTTTGACTAGAATTTTCGGAATTTTACGCTTACATTCCTCTTGGTCCTCAAAATAGGACGATGGGAAAGGTCGAGTCCTTGGTCAGATTATTTTTCCTGATATAATTCCTGATAAGATTGTTGCTATCTAGTCATAGTTACAAAGGGGATGATGGAGAGCCGATGGCACGCCTGTATTATGGGGCTTGAAGAGGCATCCCTGTTGCGGTCAGATTTTCCCGGTATCGGACTAGTCCTTGCTAGAATGTCCTACGACCGAATCATTATTTGATGAAACTATGTGGACGAGGGTCGACTGTACCAATTACGGGCCATCAGAGATGAAACCAATTTTTCCACTGATTCCACGTGAACCGTTATTTCATCAAAAAAATAAACATTACAGTAAGGTTTCCTAAATTTTTCGAAATCTATAAGCCACATCGTGATTCTAATACAGGAAATGAGGAGGCATCAAGTGAGAGGGTTCTATAAATTCCATACCCGGAACAAAGAAGAAAAAATCATAGGTTTGTTGAGAATGTGTAGGACACAAATTGGTCGGATTCTTGACTGAAATTCGAGTAGCGATGCTGTTTTAGAGCAAAACTAATGAATTCGTGATAGAAAGCCTGGGGGCTACGACAGATCAGTTGTACAGATATTGTATCATGCGACCAAATCCTTGACCATATAGCAACTCTGGTGACTCCGATACTTTGGATCCACGACGATGTGCTCACTGAAGGCAAAGTCTTCCAAGCAGGTCCTTCTGACGGTTCTGTACCCTGAATCCATAGATGTTTTCTGTCGAAAAAGAGTGAAAGGAGCTGACAACCACGTAGATATGTTATGTGCTGAGTGAAAAGAGTAGCATAGTGAGACAGCCCTTTCTGGAGACAAAAGGAGAGTTATTACAACTGTATTCACGGGGTAATCACAGTGTTCCGCAAGGTCATGTTAGAATCTCCGTGAGGGGGCGAGAAGCGTCTAATCAAACTTGCTCGGTCAGGATTGGCTGGCATTCTGACCAATCAGGGCGTAGCATCGTTTGGTCCGTATCCTGCACGTGACGCGTCCGCCTAAACGATGTGATGTTCGGTTATTTGGGGCGACTGGCCTCCGGACAGTACTTCACTGCTCGTCCCAGATGCAGACGTTCCTTGTCGACTTAAATTGTTGGCAATCCGGTGTCTTACTCTCATCCTCAGAAATTGGTTTTCTTAGTTGTGACTTCTGGTGGATGTTGAATTTTAGTCCTTTCTGAGACAGTTCGATCTCGGATTCACTCAACTCTTTCGAGGAAGGGTTGACTATGACAGTATCTGCTGCAGCTCAAGTTGATGAATGGAAATTGGATGGTTGTTCAGATGATATTCTGAACTGTCTTTCTAAATTTGTCTTCTGATGTTCATGTGAACGTTCTCCTGTCTGTGTCGAATAACGCTGATTTCTCGAGTTTTCAACTTTTCAGGTAATAGGTGTTGGATGGACATAATCGGGTTACTATAACTTAAACGAATCCATTCCAGATGGAAGAAAACAGGAACAAGCACGCAGCCTGAGAAAAGTAGAAGTGGCTGCTCGGGCTGCGACTTGTGATCAACGAATACTCTCAGAATGTTTGACCACAAAAGATCATGGAACGAAATTGATTCCAAGGCACCCAATGCGCAGCACGCGGCGGTTTATCCAGATGGCATTTTTCTTGGCCATAGTATTCTTATTTTTTATTAGTTTTAGGAAAGCGGCGTCGTGTTCGGTACGAATGAGGTTCAACGGATTGCTTTTTGCAAGTGACATCTGTTCAGGGTGATTAGTGAAGGAAAAACATAGCTACGAAAAAATATCTGCCATTATCGCTGTATTTTCTCTCTCCTAATCAGCCTAAACAGATGTCGCATGGGCGTAAAATATACTGGGTCTAAGCTGCATAGAATGTGATGAGGATATTTTGAAATTCGTGATTATGTTCCTCATTGGCCAGTGATACCCATTTGAAGTGTCGTGATACTGACCGTTTGCTAAGAAATAGAGAAATTTATGTTTAAAGGGCCATATCGGGGATCTTCACTACATGTTTCGTGAAACACAGAACAACGCATACATGTCCGCTAGAGACTTTGAAACTTTTCGGGATTCGTTAACCTATCTCAACAAATTTGCCAGATTCGACTACAAGCATAGTGTTACTCGCCCATAGATGCTGAGCTGCATCACAATTTTCAGTGCATAACATCAAGTCTAGCACTCTCTCTTCCAGCGCTTGTCCTTTAGCGACATTGTTCATATGAAAGCCTCTCGTCGTAATAGGTTCATGACGTACTAACTCGGTCAGGTGAATAACCTATCGAATGCTGTGGGAAACGAGATACAAGTCCAATGTTCATCTACACGCTGTTCTTAGGTAAATAAGTTAAACATGTCCTCCGAAGAAGAGAGACGATATCAGCGTGCCTCTCAACAGATTGGGAAGGCTGGGGGTACTCGAGTGAACAACAAACATGGCAGTCTGATCTTCAGATTAAAAAATCAAGCGGCAAGTCGGCACCACCCGTGTTGTACTGAGTATTACTAAGTTGGTGGGTTAATTCATCCACATATCTGAACAGGTCTGTCAAGTGACCATTCGAATAGGTCCAAGTAATGACATTCAGCTGGCTGCTATGTGACAAAGCAAAGGGGCCGGAGAGGCGACAGCAGTTTAAATAATGTCTAAGCTACAAATACACTTATTTGCAAATCACTTTGGTCTTCACGGGAGACTCAAGTGAATCTCTCGCTCATGATGTTCTTCGACTGAACGTGCTGCACACGGGCCGCCTCATGTTTTATTTGATATGATACTCGATATATCGCAGTATATTTTCACAAGGGAAACTACTAGTGAAAACCCTTCGACAGCCCACGACAGGTTTCGCCCTTCTTGGGGCTTAGCAGGTAGGCGCAGTCTCCGAGGTTCCGTCAACCTTATGTTCTACTTGAACCCAAATCGGACTGATTACTTCAAATGCACTCATTTGCGAGACCTGTCTCGGGTTGTCGAGGAATTTTCAGGAACCTTATAAGTTGCGCATTACGAATATACATGTACCGTGATATCGATAATATCATAGCAACTGAAACATGAGACGGCCTGGTGTGCAGCACATTTAGCTGCCTGAAAACATCGTAATCACGAGATTCAGCTCGGCTCCATATGAGTCTCTCGCAATACCAAATTTGTCTGCAAATGATTGCTTTGCCTAACTTCGTGCAATTTGGTTTCAAGTAGAGCACGAGGTTGACGGAAACTAAGGGACTGTGCCTACCTGGTGAGCTCCAAGTATGGCGAACCCGGTCGTGGGCTGTCGGAGTGTTTTCAGCAACCTTGTGATTAGTTTTCTTTAAGAACATATTTAAGCTCATTTTGCAAGATTTCGTGGGTTATCATTGTCGGTCGCTGCAACTTTATACTATAGCACAACATTTCAATGAAGAATAGAATAGCTTCGGTTCGGAAACAGGTTAAGAATTGTCGAAACCAAAGGTGACGTGAAGAAAGGCCGTAAAAATTATCCACAACTTGAGACAGGCTGCTGTATGATGACCCAGTTCATGACACCTTCACAAACGCTGAACAAACCACGGCTAATTAGCTGAAAAACGCTTGGAACCAACTGAGTAGTCATCGTTCGCGGAAACGTTGGGTAACAGTCGGTAGATTCATTGCAGTGCAACGTTTCGTTTCTTACATAAAAGCTTCGTTATGCCTAGGTTTCGAGGTTGGTCGAGATTTAAGGCGGAAGGAGAACCAATCAACTAAGCCAAGCCAAATCTGTGTTGGGTGTTAGGGTGGGTCACAAAGTGTTGCGCCAATGGAGAAACCTACACGAATTTAGTTCCAGCTTAGAGTGTAGTTCCTCCGGTTCGGTTCATGTGATGATCCCCCTTGAACGTCGTTTACACTTTTCGTGCGTCTGTGTAGATGAGCTAGTGCTAGGATAGTTTTGTGTGGAAGTGGGATTCTGTGAACTTTAGTTGGGTTGGGATTCCCATCCCCCCTTCCTAATTTTCGCCAATGATTCTACATGCATTGACAACCACACAGTCATGTGTCAACTCGGCTTATCTAAGACAGCTTTCCATACGCCCGCCAGTTCCACATCCTTGATTCTATTCACGCTGTGCTGCTGGGTAATTTTCACTGTCTCGGCTATCAGCCGCTGTGGTGTGAATCGTAGTCCCCGTCTTAAAACCTCCACATTCCTCAGTTCTGTTCTACGTCCTGTGTCTATAGCATGTACATCCATCGCTAAGTCTTTGACCAGCGTTCGATTGTGGTCAGCGTTTATAGCTGCCACTGTTTTATCCACGGATCACCTGAGGCACGGGTGAACAGCAACGCATTGGGGGAGAGGGCTGACACGAGATATGTTTGAATAAAGGGGTGGCAGCGGTTATTGCATTTGGGAAATCGGGAGGGGGAGCTATGCGTCGGAGGAAAGAGCTCAAATGCTCGCGTACCTGTTAGCGTTGTTTCCGTCCATGCTCCTATGATGTGCCCCCTATCGGGGTCTCCATCTAGAGAGACGGATGACCAGGCAGTCGAGTTTTCTGGTAATGGCTTCCATACTTGACTGCTTGACCTTTCCTGGCTTGTTCCCTCCCTTCGTGTGCTTGTACGAAAAGGACTTTCCGAGGAAGTCGGCCAACTGACATATGGAGTTCGTGGCTAAACCAGTGTGGTCAAGACGCGAACATATATGCGCCTTGTTCTATGACCCCAAAAACCGGTGTCCATGTTTTCAGCTTACGTCCCTGTCGCTTTCTCACTCCATAGACCACCTTAGACCACTTGAACTGTACCGACTCTTGTCCCCCAGTACATCATACTCCAGATATGGGTTACAAGCTGTTCCGTAGAGGTCCGTATAGAACAATTTGCAATACACAATCAAAAAAACTTGTTGGGCAGTATTCCAGAGGGCTTTTAGATTTTGTCAGACAGTCTCAAGATTTTGATGCATTTACATCAGATTTTAACTGTTATCCGGTGAATTATTCTAATAGATTTGTTGCACGATAATCTTTCACTTCTGATTTCATCCCGTTCAATGTGTTCGGCCTACAGAAAATGCGCTGGCGTCCGTTTACAGACACATCATCATTATCATCATCATCATCATCATCATCATCATCATCATCATCATCATCATCATCATCATCATCATCATCATCATCATCATCAT